TGTGTTAAATTTAAATGGTTCAGTGATGATTTTGCACAACTTATATGAATTAATCACTAAACAAATTCATTTTTTCATGAGTTTAAACCAACAATTCCACTACTCAGACAGGCTCACATACATAACAACCAGGATTCACTAGCTGTGCCAGTCACTCTGTATCTGTCTAATTGCCTATGGAGATGTTCCTCTATAAGTAACCTAACCTAAATGAGCAGTTACCTGGCAGATAAGCACACATAAAGACATACACTGTATACTGTACACACAGATGCTCTCTGTCTGTAAATGAACAAATGAGAAAGATGTTGAGTTGAACAAAGGGCAGGGAACTAGTGTCTGGTCTTTACTGACCCTGGCCACACTACACAATGATTCATGCCCGCTGCTCCTCACCCTCCGGCACAGTGCTCATTCGCTAACACACTCACAGACAGGCTGCCTGCACACTCATGACACACAAAATGACAAGGAAGGAAACTAAAATCAGCACCACACCTTACAGTCCCATTTGTAGGCACACACTAGCAGTCAAGCATCCTGCATACACACAAAAAACAGGCTAAAATACAGCATTTAAGTATATTTATCTGCCATAATGACAAATATAGAGACATGAACTCAAACTTATACAGCATCACCAATGTACAAATCAGGGAACACCTTTTATGCTTGTTCTGATAAACAGCATACAGTATTTCACTTTCACAGCAAAGGCAGATTCAGCTGCAGTGGCAAACTGTATGTAACAAATGTCATAGTGCTTTGGTTTAATTACAAAAAAACCCACTTTACCATCTTAGCTCATCTTAGCTAATAGGGTGCAGGCTAATACAAGACTGTCAGACACTGTGGTCATTTCACTGGAGACATTTTAAACACATCAGCTGCACCTAAAGTAAATACAAGGTAGATGAGAACAGGTGCTTGTTTTTAATTGCAAAGCTTCTGGAAGTTGGCTTCCAGTGTCCATGTGGATATTGGACTTTTTGACCAATCGGAACCAATCAGTGAAAGTCAGTGCTTCCATTCTTTCCATCAGTACTGGTGCCCTCACAATGATGTGTCCTTAGTCCACTTCTCAACACCATATACACTGATCAGCCATAACATTATGACCACTGACAGGTGACGTGAATAACGCTGATTGTCTCGTTACACTGACACCTGTCAGTGTGTGGGTTATATTAGGCAGCAGGTGAACATCCAGTCCTCATAGTTGATGTGTTGAAAACAGGAAAAATAGGCAAGCGTAAGGACCTGAGTGACTTTGACAAGGGAGAAACTGTGATGTCTGACGACTGGGTCAGATCATCTCCCACACTGCAGGTCTTGTTGGGTGTTCCTGGTCTGCAGTGGTTAGTACCTACCTACAGTGTCTAAGGAAGGACAAATGGTGAACTGGTGACAGGGTCATGGATGCCCAAGGCTCACTGATGATGATGTTGATCTACTGTAGATTAAACTTTTAACTTCCATTTGTACTTTTCAAAAGATTAAAATTTATTTGAATCTTTGTTAAAATGGTTGAAAATGAGAAACACTGTACACTGGTCTCTATGAAGAGAAACATTCAGCAGCTATAGTGATGATATCACACCTAGAGTGGGGAGGCTGTTGAATTTGTCCAAACAATTCTCTCTAACTCATCCTCACCACCACAGTTTTCACTCCTTTTACAGAAGTTTTTCACTGAATGTTTGACACATTCGTGCTCTTCCTGACAGTAGAACTGGAAGCAAACAGATTCACAGAAGATGCACAGTGAGCTGGAGAGTGACACGGTGTTAGGCAGGTGATCATAATGTTATGGCTGATTGGTGTATATCCATAACTGTCTGCTCCCTCATAATAATGATAACATTATAAAATATTCAGACAACACGACCATTATCTATCCATCCATTATTAAGAATAATGATGAGACAGCCTGGACATGAATACAACAAAAACAAAAAACCTCATTATAGAGTTAGTAGGAATAGGAATAGAGGATTTCTTCTTTCACCTACCTTGGCATTCACACTGTCCTTGATGATACTATGTGAAGGACAAAAACAGCAGCCATAAACAAAAAAGCAGATGAATGATGGTACTTTCTGTGGCATCTGAGAAAGACGCAAATAACAAAACAGTTGTTGGTGCCTTTTTATAGAAGCGCACTATAAGGGTGTGCTTAAATCTCCTATCACTGTGTGATTTGGCAGCTGTACAAACAGTCTCTCCAAATAATCACCAGAGTGACTCAGAAAATCACAGCTTCCTTCTATGGAATCTATCTAAAACACATCTGTATCAACAGGGCCTTAAAAATATTAGAGGACCCTTCTCAGCCTGGATGTTTTGCTCCTCTGCCTTCAGGGATGGTCACAGGAACATAAAGGTCAGAACACCCAGATTAAAGAACACTTTCCACTCCAGTGTCATTGTCCAAGTGAACCAACATAATCCACTGATATGAAGTGGAAATGTATGCACTCATGGGTTTTAATTAGCAAATCTTATTAATGTTATGCTTTTATTTAGTCATTTTAATTACTATTATGCTTAATATTTATTATTTAACAATTTACAGATATAGGGATTAGGCTTATGTTACATTGTCTTTGCACAGTGAAGTGACTGCAACCATTTTTTTCACTACATGTTTATACAATGACAATATAGTTTCTAAGGTCCTAAAGTCAACAGCACACTTTTGAACTTTCTTGGTCATCTCTCATTATCTGTTTGGACTGACTGTTTCATTTCCAGAGAAAAAGTCTAAAAGTTTTAGCTACAAATATGGGCATTGCTTCAAGCCTAGACTAAACCTTGAGGATTAATATAGTATCAAATCCCGTCTGGCGGCAGGAAGCCACATTGTTAGGCCAGTACCACTGAATCACACTCAAGGCAGCAGAGGAAAGTAAACAGTGGTCTTATAGTAATCATTTACTGTAACCTGTAAGCAAAAACATGTCATTGCATGTTACGGTAAGTATTTGGACAGAGGATTTCACCAGGGGGACTGACAGAGAGCACTTCAGGCTGGTCTATGTGTGTCTTGTCAGGTGGTTGCCACACAGAGGGGAAGTTAATGCAACTCTAATGAAAGAAGTAAAACACTGAGACAGGACAGTGGGGCAAAGGTCACACTTTCACTTCATTCTTCAGACATTCAAGTGGATTTCTACAGAAGAGGACTAAGGCCACTGGCAAAAAAAAAATGTGAGTTCTGACTTTTTTCTCAGAATTCTGAGAGTTTAAAGTCAGAACTCAAATAATGTTTTTATAGTGGCTCTAATCCTCTTCTCTAGATTTCTGGTTTGGGTGGGGGGCATTTTGATTTATTTAGCCTTAACCACCCAGTAGCCAGCGACATATCCATCCTGCCAAAGCCTAAACAATGTTATGACAGCAGGCACTTAGAACATTTAATGTGATTTATAATGATGAAGGAAACTGTTGTTGATGCTATTTCTGTGTATTTGTATGTTGTTAACCCGATTCAAGAACTTGAAAACAATACCCACGTCTCACATTTGTTCAGAAATGTATATATGTCTGATGTTGAAAGCTGGCTCCCTCAGCCAGAAAAGCAAGTGTCCAATCAGATGTTAGCAGACAGGATTAAGAACAGGGATGTTATTCTGTTGTGTTTTGTGTACAGTTAGCTGGCATCCTAGACACATTCATGAAAAACGGTGATAGAACAATGTCGATAGGTCAGATGAGAGTGCAACCTTACAAGTTGTTATAAACTGACTTACAGAAATAACAACTAGAAATTTCAATCTGATTATCAGACTAATATTTAATGTCTTTAATAGATGGCCAACAGTAAAAAGGCTGACTGGAAACGAAGGGTGGGTGAGATGATGATTTGGCCAGAAATCTTAACACCCCCACACCACCCCAGGGTTAAAATGACCAGCTCCGCAAATTACATTGATCACAGGAAAAAATGAAAGTAGCTGCTGTCAGGTTTGTGACCTTGCTGCAGCCAAAGATCGTTTATGAGATAAGGAGGCATCACTCTGTACCACAATAACCAGAGTGCTTCTCTGTCGTTCCATCATCTCCAACAGAGTGAGACGTCGCCATATCAGTCACATCAGTTAGCTCGACTGATAGTTACTAAGTACTTTTAGCTGCAGTATAATGCCAGCCCGTCAGCCCCGCACTTCAGGATAGGATAATAGATGGATGGAGAGAAAGTTGCAGCCTTTAGTGTATATTAGAATTGTGCACAAGTTGGGGTATAGGGATCACACAAAGGTAGTTTTCATACAGTCTAAATTGTTAAAATTCTTTGATTTAGTGGAATATAAGACCGCTGTGTTTATGTATAAAGCCAGGAATGACTTATTACCTGGTGGAATCCAAAAGTTATTTGACAAAAGGGAAGGGGGATATAATTTAATGGGCCAGTTAAATCTAAAAGTTCATGCTATACGTACAACCAAAAAAAGATTTTGTATTTCTATAAGT